TCTATTGTGCACACATGGGTCGCCCTGACTTGGAATCAACTCGATGGCAACATCATCTTTATCACTACACGCTTAATCACCTCAGTCTTTTTAATATCTCTGTAGATTTCTATTGTGTGAATACACTTGTTTAGTTAGCTACTTCCCTGTTGATGGACATGGTTTTTTCTTCTTCTTCATCTTTTTCTTCTAATTCCAAACAATGCTCCAATGATTCTGTGCATGTACATATATGTGTGTATGTGTGTGTGCATGCTCACTCATGTGATTCTGGGGATAATTTTCTAGAGGTAATTTTCAGGGTCAAAAGGAATGAATATTCAATGCCAAAGTGCCCAACAAAACCATTGTTCCAGTGCCTACTCCTTGACCAAAACCTAGTGTTGCTAATCTTTTTCATTTTTGTTGATTTGATGGGCAAAAAAATAGTATTTTAATTTGTATTTCTTTATTAGTGAAACTGGGCATTTTTTCATGTTTGTAGCCATTTATATTTCTTATCACCTATTTATGTCATTTTCGCTAGCTTCTAGTGAGTCATCCATCTTTTTCTTATTAATTTGAAAGACTGCTTCATATTAGTGCGGTTGATACTTTGCCACATCTGTTGGGTATTTTCTCCCAGTTAAAACATGGTTTTAAATGACTGCATAGTATTTCACCACAACAGTAAGTCTAATTTTGGATACTTTACTTGTTTCCATGTTTTCATCCGACTATAAACAACACTGTTATGAACATCTCTTGTGGACATGCACTTTTTTTTTTAATTGTTGTAGTTTAAATGAAGTTTACATTTCAGATTAGTCTCCCATACAAAATTTTATACATCCATTGTTATGTGACCCTAATTGCTCACCCCATTCTGCGACAGCACACTCCTCCTTTCCACCCTTGATTCCCCATGTCAATTCAACCAGCTCCTAACCCTCTCTGCCTTCCCATCTCACCTCCGGGCACTTTTTTTTTTTTTAGGAAAATTTGCTAGAAGAGGGATTTTTGGGATCAAATGTCTGCACATTAAGGTTCTTAATGCATATGCACAGAATATCCTCAGGAAAAATGGTAGCACTTCACACACTCCCACTAGCAGTATATGAATGCCATTTGTTCATGTCCTTAATAAGGTTAGGTGATATCACTTTTTACCTTGGCCAATTTGATAGGTGTATTAGTTTCTTAGGGCTACCGTAACAAATTATCAGAAACTAGGTGGCTGAAAACAACAAATTTATTCTTTCACAGTTCTGAAGGCTAGAAGTTCAAAATGAAGATGTCAGCAGGGCCATACTCTCTCTGAAGGCTCTGGAGAAGAATCCTTCCTTGCATCTTTCCTTGTTTCTGGTGGTTACTAGTAACCTTGGTATTCTTGGTTTGTGGCAGCATAACTCCAATCTCTGCCTCTGTCTTCACCTGGCCTCCTTATAAGGGCACCAGTCATTGGCTTTAGGGCCTACCCTAATCCAGTATGACCTCCTTTCCAAATAAGGTCACATTCTGAGGTTCTGGGTAGACATAAATTTTTGGGGACACTATTCAACATAGTACAATAGCTAAAACAAGGTTTATTATTATTTTAATGTTTAACTCTTATTAAAAGAAAAAAAAAGAATAGCTCAGAAATGCATATGACAAATTATGGCGCATCTTAACTGTAGACTGGCTCAGGGATATCCTTGTTTGGTTGGGTGGAGTCTGGGAATGTACCCCACCCAAGGTAAGTGGTCAAATAAGTATGTTCTGATCCTGCTGCCCTGAGCTTGTCATCAGGCACCATAAAATAACACTGGATATCTCTGCAAGAACTCAGCTCAGAGACTGTTGCCTACTTTATTATTTTTTACTAGAACATTGCCCTTAAATCACTGGGAAAAGTGTAATGAAAGTGGCAATCTGCAACCCCCAGGGTTACCCTCTACTTGATGCTGGAATCATTCTACTTTGGTTAAACTCTTGCTCTTGCCGCCCAGCTGTACCATGTTTGACCGAAACCAGACCCGTTGCCATAAGTCGATTCTGACTCATGATGACCCTACAGGAGAGAGTAGAACTGCCGACCTTTGGGTTAGCAGCTGAGGTCTTAACCACTGCGCCACCAGGGCTCCACCACCTTTGACAGATCATAATTTCTCTGGGCCTCAACTTTATCTTCATGAGGATATGCTTCAGGTAGAACAAACTGTAGGAGTTTCCTGACCTGAATCTTCCCCTCTCAGGTACTGGAGAATGATCCAGCTCTGGCTGGATCATGCCAAGGACCAGGCTCCAGGTGAACAGACTGCAGGCAGGTGAGTCGCTTACCTTCCCGGGCCAGCAGTTTCCTCAGCTATAAAACAGGACTGCTCTACAGCAGGAAACCCTGGTGGCGTAGTGATGAAGTGCTACAGCTGTTAAACAAAAGGTTGGCATGTTTGAATCCACCAGGCGCTCCTTGGAAACTCTATGGGGCAGTTCTACTCTGTCCTATAGGGTTGCTATGAGTCGGAATCAGCTCGATGGCAATGTGTTTGGTTTTTTGGCTTTCTTGCTCTACGCCAGCTCAGCACTTCCCAGTGCTCTCCTTTGCAACTCCCAGCCAGGTCGCACTGTTTTCAAGGTTCCTTACGCCCACCATCTTTAACCGGGAAAATGGAATCACCCTAGCTAGTCTATGCTTCCGCTCCTGCCCCTCGTTCAATCTAATAGCCCCAAAGCTGCAAGACTGTTTTTTTGTGTGTATGTGTGCTTTAGGTGAAAGTTTACGGTGCAAGTTACTCATTCAAAAATTTATACATACATTTTTCTTTGACAGTGATTGCAATCCCCACACTGTGTCAGCACTCTCCCCCTTTCCACCTCGGGTTCCCTGTGTCCATTCATCCATTTTTCCTGTCCCTTTCTGCCTTGTTTTTGCTTTTGGGCAGGTGTTGTCCGTTTGGTCTCATATACTTGACTGAACTTAAGGAGTTCGTTTCTCATGTGTGTTATTGTTTTATGGGCCTGTTTCATGTTTGGCTGCAAGGTGGACTTCGGGAGTGGCTTCAGTTCTGAGTTGGCAGGCTATCTGGGGTCTATAGCCTCAGGAGTTCCTCCAGTCTGTCAGACCAGCAAAACTGGTCTTTCTTTGTGAATTTGAATTTTGTTCTACATTTTTCTCCCTGCTCTGTCCCGGACCCTCTATTGTGATCCCTGTCAGAGTGGTCAGGGGTGGCAGCCAGGCACCATCTAGTTCTTCTGGGCTCAGGCTAGTGGAGGCTGTGGTTCGTGTGGTCCATTAGTCCTTTAGACTAAGCACTGGTATTTTTATAAGACAGAACTTGTTGAGTCTTTGAAAATGTTTCAGTAGTTTCTCAGTTTAATTTTGGAAAAATCCAGATTATCCACTGTGGCTCACTAGGCTCTAAAAGATCTGACCTGTTTACTCACTACCCTCAACTGCCCTTAGCTACAGGGGCCTTTTAGTTTCTCAGATACAAGTGCTTTCCCCACTTTGGGGCCTTCAGACCTGCTACTTCCTCTTCTCTGCATCCACCCCCAACACAGTGGCTCATCTTTTATACCCTCAGGTCTCAGCTTAAATATTACCTCCTCCAAGGCCTCCCTGTCTCTCCTGCTTATTCCCTCTCCTTGCACTGTTTCCCCAGAGCCCTTAGCCCAGTCTGTAATCATACAGGATGCAATTTACAGCCTCTCCCTATGGGAGTTCAGGCCTTATGTGCTCCATCTATCACTGTGTGTGCCCAGCACCTAGCACAGTGCCTCCAACAGTGGCCAATGAAACATTTGTTGAATGATCAGACTATGTTGTTCAAACCCCTCTCCCTCACATTCCTTCTGCTAACAGCCTTCTGGTCAGGAGAAGATTATCCAATAAGCAGGGTACGCGCAGTGCTTACTTTGCTTACTGGATCATCTGTAGAAATTGTTCATTACACATTAGTAAGTAAGCACAAGTAAGCCCATGCTTACCTTGCTTACTGGGTCATTGCTCCTGTCAGGGATTATAAATTTAAAAAGAGGCTTTGATTCTGTAGGAAGGTGCTGTGGGGCTGGGAGAGAGACAGATGCCAGCCATACCTAGAAGCAGAATCTTTGATGTGGTGAAAAAAATGTGAAATTGTTCACTACAGATGATCTGGTAAGCAAGGTAAACACCATGCTTACTTTGTCTACTGGAGAATCTGCCCCTGCTTCCAGTACAATCTTCTGGCTCTCTGGGTCCTTAAGCATCTCTCCATGTGTTATCTGTGACTGTGCTGCTTTTTATTTGTCATTTAATACTCACAAAAACCGCACGCAGTAAGTACTTCTACTATCCCCATTTTACACATCAGGAAACTGAAGCTCAGCAAGGTCAAGTGCTTTGCTCTTGATCCACACAGCTAAAACAGGAAGAGTGAGATCTCAAACCCACCAAATAAGTACCATAATAAACCAAACTCATCAAAGAACAGTTCTAGAAGGCTTGAGTTCTGGTCTAACTTTTAAGATGGGCTGTGGCCCAGAGAGGTATGGCAACTTACCCAAAGACATTTAGCAAGTTAAAGGCAGAGTGGAGACTAGAACATGGGGTGGAGCATGGCCCAAGACACGCCGGCCAAGATATTTTCCCCAGCCTAGGCTACAGCATTTCCCCATGGCCAAGCCAGTTAGCTCTCCTGTGTGTAATTTAAGAATGGAATTATAGGTTCAGAAGCCAAAGCTGAAGGGTAACATCGCCAACTTTGGCTCATGTTTTGAAAACAATTCTTGGGACACTAACCAGAAACCCAAAATAGCAGACTCTGCCCTTTAGATGTTTGAAAAGGACTCTGAATGTTCTCAATAATAGTCTAGTGAAGATCTGGTGGAGTTAACAGTGTCTGATTCAGAGGGAGATGTCATGGACAATTTACATTTATTTGCTGATGACTGACTAAACATACTTCAAACACAGCAGAAGTTAAGAGTCTGTTAGGTGAAGCTATTTCTTGCTAGCAGGTAAAGGTGGTCCTTGAAGAGTAACTTCAGCATCATCTTCGAGCCTTGGCTTTGGGCAAATAGCCAGTGGGTGGACCTGGTCCTTCTCGCCTGGATGGGAGCTTCCGAGGAACTACTCTTGGTGCTGGTACTTGTGCTTGATGTGTTTCCACAGCTTCTACATTTTAAAGACAAGACCACAAACCTTTTAGCTTTGCCACTCACATTTAAAAACTGTTCCCATTGCCCTGGTCTCGAAAACAAGCTTGAGAGAAACATAAGAGTGGCAGCATTTTCATATGGGAAGAAAACTGCCCTGGCTACCAGCAGTACAGCATTAGTGGAAAAAGCCTGCCTGGGCTGTGGAGTCAGACAGCCTGGAATTAAATACATTCAGTTGTGGTAGGTAAAATGGAAGCAATGCTAAGCTTGACACACAGCTCCTAACATTTATAACATGCTATCATGCTGTTAATCACTATATAAAGAAACTGGGAAGGGATGATTTTATTTTGATAGAAAACTTAGGTTCGGAGAGATTGAGGGAATTGACCAAAAGCACACAACGTCACGAGTCAGAATCGACTTGACGGCAACTGGTGGTTAAGGAACAGAGTCTGAAAGATGTCTCAGTTCTTGGACTTCCATGTATTATTCAAGAGGTCGTAACTGCATAACAAAACACAACAACCAAACCTGTTCCTGTCAAGTTGATTCCGAATCATGGCAACCCTATGTGTTACAGAGTAGAACTGAGCTCCACAGGATTTTCTTGGCTGTAATCTTTATGTAAGCAGATCGCCAGGCCTTTCTTCTGTGATGCTGCTGGGTGGGTTTGAACTGCCAACCTTTTGGTTAGTGGCCAAGCACAAATTGTTTGCACCATTCAGGGACCTTCCTAAGTGTATGCTGTTGTGCTGCCATAGAGTCAAGTTCAATTCATAGCGACCCTATATGACAAAGCAGAACTGCCTCATAGGGTTTCCTATGCTGTAATCTTTATGGAAGCAGATTGTCAGGTCTTTTCTCCCACGAAGGGGCTGATCGGTTTGAACCACCAACCTTTTGGTTAGCAGCCAAGTGCTTAACCACTGTGCCACCATTCCTACGTGCATAATATAACCCCATAAGTGCATAGTTCCCACATATTTCACATTGTTCCAGTTTTTACTTCCTCAGGCCTATGATCCTTGGAGCCCTGGTGGCACAGTGGTTAAGCGCTCGGCTGCCAACCAAAAGGCCTGCAGTTTGAATCTACCAGCCGTTCCTTGGAAACCCTATGGGGCAGTTCTACTCTGTCCTATAGGGTCACTACGAGTTGGAACTGACTTGACGGCAACGTTTTTTTTTTAATGATCCTCGGGATAGGAACTGGCTGGATTCTCATTCTAAAAGCACAGGAAAATGAGTGGGTTATGAAGACAACCAACCTAGATGCCTTTCCAGATCAGTGGGAGTGGCCAACAGAACCACTTATAGGAGATGGAAGAGTGGCAGCACTTTCATATGGGAAGAAACTGCCTGGGCTGTGGAGTGGAATGGGGCTATCTGGGCAAGGCCTTCCCCTATAAACTGAAATTTCTATATTTGAAGAGGACGAACAACCATACTTGTCTGTGAGGGACTGTTGTGAGGTTTAATGACATAAAGCATGCACAGCACCTAGCACACATTAGTTTAAAAGGTGTGGTTATTATTTATATCATGTTTCCACTTTTCCCTGAGAAATGGAACCAGTGTTATTTTTGAGTGGTACCACCTACCAGGCACTGTGGCACCTTGCCAATATCTCATTAATATAATCCTCACAATAATCCCCCGAGGGAGTTACTATTATTATCTCTATTTCACCAATAAGAAATCTGAAGTTGAGAGGTTAAGTAAGTTGCTCAAAGTAACACAGGTATTAAGTGACAAGGCCAGGTATTTCCACCCCAGAGCTCTGATTTCACAGCCACCACTCTTAACCATTACTAATTCGAAGCTGCATGCGTGGGAAGGCTTGGGAATTCGAAAGTGCTATCTGAAAGAGCCAGCCACGGTATTTAAGAAAATGCTTTTTCTATGTCCACTGCCTACTCAAATCTGCCCTTGAAATCCTCAGAAGAGGCAGGGGACCCGGGTTCCCGCCCTGACTTGCCACTGACTTGCTGGTGGTGTACCCTAGTAAGTCCTTTGCTCTCATCAGGCTTTACTCTTCGCTTCTGTTAATGAACAAGTGGGTATGTGGGTTGGGAGGCTTCAATACTTACAACCTATGCAAAGTGGGATCTATTGACCTCGTTTTACGTCTTAGGATTCACACTGAGCCGAGAGGACGGCGGGCTCAAGAGCAGACGCCCACGATTCACCCCTTTCCTCGGAAAGGTAGACTGAGTCCCGCCCCACCCCCACTCCCACTGTTACCCATTAGGCGGGCCCAAGGTCAGGGACGGCCGAGGCCCTCACCCCCTCGTTGATGTGCTCGTAGATCGCGTCCGCGCCTTGATCGAAGGCGCGCTCGAAGAACACGGCGCCCACAGCGATGGTGAGGGCGAACGTGGAGGTCCTGCGGAACAGCAGAGAGTACAATCTCGCAGTAAACCCGGGAGCCGCCATGTTTCCTACTGCCGAACTTGTGCCACCACGCCTGCGCCGCGGCCGACCTCGCTTTTCAAAGCCCCTCGACGTCCAGCACTTTATGGGACTGGTAGTTCCTGAATCTCAGTAGTAGCCGTTGTAATCAAGAGAAACAACTACTGTCCTGCAACAGAGAAAAGTAGCATGACTTATACATTAGCGCAGTCCAAATTTAGTTTGCTAAGATTTATTATTGAATTTCTTTCCTCAATCTTTTTTGCTGATTGATTATTTCAAAATACAACTCCCAGAAACCCTTGCGCTTCCTCCACCTCCCCGCTCCGTGCTGTCTCAGCTTTGATTCCCAAAGGTTTCTGGGAAGGGCGGACTTAGCAACCAAGGAAGGACTACGGATCCCAGCAAGCACTGCAGAGACTCGAGGGCGCAGGAGGAGGAGCCTGGAACCGCCCGGCCCCGCGGAGCCAGGTACATTCTTCCGCGGGAGGTGGAGGGGCGAGTGCTAGTCTCGTTCCCCCCCTCCGGAGGTCCTCGTCTCGTCTTTCTCAGTTCGCGTTCCCAGGGTGGTGCGAACCACTTCACAGGGTGGGGTGGGGGACTTGTGGAGGGACGAGAGAACCTTGGCGCCCGAGCTCCCTGGCTCGTCTTCTTGCCCTGTCTCCGAGGCCCAGAAGTGGAGTCTGTGGTGAAAGTCGGATCCTGAGGACTGAACTCCTCAAGGGAAGCGGCCGTGGATCGAGGTCCAGCCTCTGCTTTCTGTTCTTCTCGCCCCCCCGGGTTTCGCAGCCGAGAGCCCTGGCCTGGAAGGCAGGAGACCTGGGACCACTCACTCATACCTTCTCGGGAACAGAAGGAGCAAGGGCTTTGGAGTACTAGGTCCATTCAAAACTGTGTTCTAACCGCGTCCTCTCGGCCATGCCCTAGGGACCCACCGGTGAACAAGCCCCTGCTCTCATAGAGACCTCGCGAGAGGGTGTGTGGGCGGATGGGGAGGTGCAGGAACGACCAATAGGTTGTACTTTGAAGAACAGAGAAGAGGTGGGTGGGAGGGATTGGGGAGGAGGGGTGATACTATTTTAGCCAGGGTGATGGGGACGGCTTCTCTGAGGGTGACATTTGAGTGGTCAAACCGCGGGAAAAGCTGGTGCAAAGGTCCTGAGGCAACTGCAGCCCTCGATTGTTTGTGCGAAAGCAGCCCAGTGAACTCTAGAGAGTAGGCTCAGGTCAGCTCATGTCCAGCCTTGCAGTCCATAGTAAGAAGCCTCTGTTTTCTTCCAGTTGCATTGGGAAGCCAATGTAGAAGAGTTTTAAGCAGGAATGTGAAATTATCTCATTTAGATTTTAACACCATCATTCTGGCGCCTCTAGAGAGTGAACTGAAGAGGGGAAGGTATTTTGGTGGTTCAGTAGAGGAAAGAAGGTAATTTACATTAGGGTGTAGATTAGAGTGGTGGTCACATTTGGGATGCATTTTGAGAGGTAAGACAGAACAAGCTGGCAGGTATGTGTAGGTTGTGCAGGGAAAATGGAATCAAGGATGACACCTAAGTTTGACCTCAGCAACTGGATGGATGGAGGTGCCACTAACAAGATCAGGGATGATTGTAAATTCTGTTTGGCCCCGATAAGTTTGAACAGCCAGTCAGACATCCAAGTGGAGATGTCAGGAAGCAAATGGGATATGGATCTGGGGTTCAGGGGAAGGTCTGAACCAGGGATAGAAGTAATCAGGATAGGGGTGGTATTCAAAACCTGGGGCTGGACTCCAGGCCTGGATCTGCCTCTACCTCTGTGTGACCTTGATGAGGTACTTACTCTCTGGGCCATATTTTTCCATCTGCAAAAAGCAACAGTAATGCTCAGTTAGGAGACTGGAAGGAAAAGCGTGAAATACTCTACACTCGTGAAGAGTTACCCTTATTGTGGTTGTTTACTATTTGCAGAGCATACTGGTAGTCCCTTGGATCATGAAGTTGTGAGGCTACAGGGAAAGAATACCATATCTTGCTAATCATCAGCAACAAATATGGCTGATGGGAATTTCAGAGAGAGAAGAATCATTTCTCTGTGGGATGGGTACAGGAGATCACTGGGAGTTAAGGTGTTTTATTTTTTATGTTTTAAATTCTCATTTTGGAGTAACAATTTTAACCCAACTGCCTTTAAGCCTTCGATTTCAACTTAGAAATTATTATTCTATAAATAAATCTAGCAAAATAGAGAAATAGAGAAAAATGACCTTAATTTTTTATTTGATTAATGTTTGACTCAAGTTAAACAAAATTCCTTTAAACAGTCAACCCTATTTACAGCTTAATTAAATTCCCTTAAACATTTTTTTTTTTTTTTAAATATTTTATTGTACTTCAGGTGAAGGCTTACAGAACAGATAGTTTCTTATGTAACAGTAACACACATGCTGTTTTATGACATTGGTTAACAACCCCAC